GGGCAACTCTAAAGCTGCACTTCTCGCTCCGCTCCGCTTCTGGATGATCAACACCACGAGGACGTAACTACACGTAAGCAGCGGATAGCTCTCCGACTCACCCTCGAGCTTGTTAATCCACTCAACCCCGCAATATTGGCAAACTGAGGGATGGTGAAAATTTCTTCCCCGCAATCGACATTTTCCATCATGCTCGACTCAGGGACTGCGCCCACGAATCGGCGCGAGGCCGAGACATGGATGAAGCTTCAGCATACGTTGTCTAGGATCATGGCAGTTTTGAATCCAAGAAACCGCTCCCCGCGCTTAAGGAGCGCCAATTGCCAAACAAGCATCGGTCAGGGAAATGGGATGAAGCCCTGAGACACAGAAGATGGGCATTGAAGAAAGGGAAGTTTAGAGGGACTGTCGACCAACCAACAGGATATTTCGCATGCCAAGGACAAGGATCCTGCGAAATTTCTCACCTGCGAGCATTGCTATACGTCCGTACAGCACAAACCTTTTGGCCTGACTCGCCACTTATAGTAGCAATAGGCGACCATGGTGCCTTCTTGCAACCAAGACCGCTCACACGCCTGCCGCGCATGCCGAAAGCAACACCTACGCAATCCCGTTTCACCCCATCTTTGCCTTATCCGCACCGCTAACAGGGCGGGGTTAGAAGAATAGAACCATGGTCAGCTGAACCAGGACCAACAACCACTGACCGGATAGGCTTGGATAGAATAGGTCCGTTAGGAGAAGCCCGCGCACACCACATTTCCACTTCGACAAAATCACAGAGGGCTTTTTTTCTGGTACGGACACTAACGATACGAACTTTGCGCCTCACAGCCTCGACACGGTTCAGCAGTTCAGGCCCCCCCTGGAATTCGCACCGAGTCGAATCCATCCCTCCACGTGGATGGACACCAAGAGCCCAACCTCAGGTGATAACCAGAAGTACGATATCTCGACCGCTCTCCTGATTTTGCACCGCTGCCCGCTGTAGTCAGTTATGAACCTCGCGCCACTCGCGTCAGAACGTGGGGAGCAGGAATACCTACCGTGGTGTCCTTACACCTCCTTTTCTGGATTCGGGTCCTGGGGCTATTGCTTTCAGTCTGATGTGAGCTTTGAAGATCCACATTCGTGCAAGAACTTGGTATTACAAGAAATGAATGGACCGAGCAACTTCTTCAACATGCTCTCAGGTGTCCAGTTCGGTGCTCACGTATCATCCGTTTTCGATGATTCGAAGAGATATCTTTCTTTGTTGTCCTCCTCTGTGTTGGTCGAGTTCCGTTTGCAGGTTTCCTGGGCGGAGTCGGCGATGTTTCTTTGTCTCTCGAAAAACATGACCAGGCCCCTTTCGCCCAAGCAACTCCATCCACAGCTCATCGTCCAGATTTGCGAATCGACTAAGCTGAAACTCTGCCATTGCCATCCCCAACATCTAGACTCGAGCATCGCACATTAATATCCGATCGCAGTCGCTGTTTTACACACACCCAACATGCCGGACACCGCAGTCATGACCATGCCGTCAGTATGCCCCTTCGCCTCCCCTCAAAAAACAAGCATTCCCGTTGTGGGTGGATGACTGAAAATCACCACCTATTTCCAGTTTCAACGACGATCCGTTTCGCGAGCGAATGCGCCACGTCCATTTCGATGCCATCACGCCGCTCGGTACAGAGTATCCCAAGACGCCGCTATTCGCCATGGCTGCCGGACGGGACTTTGGTGCTGCTTCCTCATGGCCCTTTGGCAAAGCAGTCATCGGGCTCCAGGAAAGGGCAGACCCGTGCCAACCGCCTGCCACCGCGCTCAGGACTCCGCCGATAAAGAAGGAACCTCTCAAGGAGCTTGAAAAGCTTGGCATGGTCGCCAATTGCAAGAAGCCTTATTCGCCCGAGGAGGATTTGAATGACAGGCTCCGCCGAGCGGCTGCTTTCCTCGCTGAACAAAAGCAAGGCGATCTTTTGGACATTGAAGGTCGCCTTGTTGAAATCGAAGAATTGTTGGGGAATGCTGCGCAAGAAGAGCAAGTGGACCACCGACTAGTCGATCGCGTGAGGGCCATGGTTGCAATGACCAGAGAGGGAATGGCAGGAGAGAACCGTATGCAGCTTGACCAAGGCTCAGCCCAAGATCGAGAGGAGCAGGGAGCGGATGAGAAGGTGGAATTCTCACTTCCGATTAGAATTAATGTGGGCGAGCTTCGTTCTGCGTCTAGAGAGACCACAGCTGGAGAAAGTTCAAAGCGAGGATCAGCTCCAGGCGGACGTCGAGGCGGTGGTAATTCGGCTGGCGGATCTGGGGGAGTTGCTCCAAATAACTTCGCTGGAGGTAGCGGCGGAGCTGGCGGAGGTAATGGCAGTGATGACAATTGGAACCGCCCACCGCCTGATAGCCTCCACAGGGCTGATGGAGATGGCCAAGAAGAAGAAGATGGTGAAGGTGACGAGGAACCCAAGACTGAGTGGGCTGATCGCAATCCACCTTGGAACGAGAAGTGGTACCCATCCGAACGCGCGACGTATCCCGCAGGAGAGACAATCTTTGCGCAGAACCACGCGAGCGCGAAAATGGCCACCGAGCTCTTCCGAAGTACGTCTGTGTCTTTTGCCCTGGATTTTGAAATGCTGACCCCTCCCTCAGACGATGAAGGCAAAAGACCTAAAATGCCTGAAGCCAAAACACTTCCTTACAAGAGCCAGTTCAAGCTCCCGGATGTCCAGCAGCAAATGTTGGGAAACGATGGTTGGTTGCACAGAGAGGGCACCTGGAATCTGGATCATTTGGCCGGCGAGGATGATGATCTGGAGAAGTCTCTAGCGGATAACTTCCCGCTACACGAGGACTGTGAATAGTTGTGCGTTTAAATTGATGTTTTTGTTGCAGCCAATGGGTAAGCCCTGGCTGCCATGGTAAAGGGGTTGAATGCGAACAGCGGTGCTTCGCGCGCTTGCGGATTTTGAGAATTTTGAGAATTTGCGGCTCTGTGTCGCTGGGGGAGCTCTGAAAAGATTCCATCAGCATCGTGGCTATATTTTAAACTTAGATTGGTCTTACCAAATACTCTTACTTGTTGATGTGTTGAAAATGTCCTTTTGGCAAAACTGTGAAGTTTGCAGAGCTTCCTTATCACAAACTCTTGCTCATGATTGTGTACGAAGGATACTTGAGTTTACCCCCTCTGAGCCTCTTAGGAGGCGGGCTGAACTCGTCTTCTCTGAAGCCTACTTTGGTATAAAATTCCAGAGCTGTTGTATTCCTCCGAAAGCAGGTAAGCATGACCTTGTCTACTTTTCCTTCACAGGCACAATGTTCCACTGCGTCCATGAGATGCCTCCCAAGTCCGCATCCTCTATGTGATTCGTCAAGATGGATCTCATAAATGTAAACCACGGGGTAGTCGTCCTCGATAGTGAACATGAATGATACGAATCCGGCGAGGCCTTGATCTTCAGGGGGCCGACTATTTGCTTCTTTGTCGTCTGCAGGCTTCGAATCGCCATTGAGAGTTTTCGGTCGACTGCCGCTGGCGTCCATTGAGTCTGGTCTTTGGCGGACGAGCAAATACTGCATGTTGTCTTCGTGCATTTCGTCGAGCTTGTGCTTTGGCTTCCATCCGCGCTCCGAGGCTTTGTAATCTGCCAAGGATGTCTTCTCGATGAGCTCCAAGCAAGCGTTCAAGTCGATTTTATTCATGTCCAGAATAGGCTTGAGAGATATGTCGTACTCCTTGTAGGAAAGCAGGGTGTTGGAGCCAAAGAAGCGTTGGTGGAATTCTCCTTGTGGGAGAGAATTGATTTTGTTGATAAGCTCTTCATTTTCAGCCAGCTGTTTAAATTTCCGTTTGAGACTCGGAGAAGGCATGAAGTCGGTCGAAGCGTGGGCTGAAAACAAGAGGGCAAATGGTAGATTCACAGAAAAGATTCACGCGTCGCGTCGACGAGACGAGAGGCGACCGGGGTGCAGGTGCGCACGGACTTCCGATGACGGCAACTGCATCCCACGAGTGTGGGGTGCCTCCCATCAACAATTCCCCCACCTCTCTTCATCCTCGCCACATCCACCATGATCTTTTGTCGCTTTGGCGCTCTCAGGCACCGAGCTCGTTCTTACGCGTCTGTCTCCTCGAAAATTCCCAAGCCTGGCAAAGGCCCGGTTCTCAGCCTCGACGCGGTAAGCGACTCGACGCAACGTTGCCAATGGCTCCCACTAACGTCAACCAGTTCATCCAGAGACAACGAGTAATATCTCTATGGAGAGAAATTGTCCGAGCTCTATACAGTCAGTTCAAGTCAAGCGAAATTCCCATGAAAGCCTGCGGCTGATACACCTCAGAGGTGCCACCTTCACCCACTCGAGACGAACTGCGCCAGTACGCCCGCACTGAGTTCGAGAGGCACAAACACGTCAAAGATGTGGTAAGACAAATCGTACTGTTATAGAAGAACTGGGTTGACGCTCTTCAAGGCACATATCAGGTATTTGCTCTCGGTACGTCCCCGTCACAACGATTGACCCTCCCTCAACCGGATCCGACGGCTGATTGTCACCAGAACGGCAAGACCGAGTTCGATATGATGAAGAGATATGTCAATGAAATGGCTCGTTGAAAGCACCTGGATCATCGAATCGCGTCCGAATAATCTGGAAAATGGCTGCCCTCAAGCAACCCGAGAGGTCTCGCTCAAGCTGGATCCGGTTCTTCGAGGAACAGCGCTGTGGCCGTTTTCCTGGCTCATGGCCCACTTCGCCGGTACAACTTGGCATTTTTCGTGGATCTCAGCCCCTCTACAACAGCGCACAACAAAGCAGCTACTGGTCCGCTGTCACATTTCCCTCCTGGATCACCGTTGGTAGAGGTAGACCTGGATGGAGGAGAATCAGTCCCGAAATTTTCACCTGAGCCTGAATGGAGAGAATCCATTTGCAACCTAATCATAAGCCGCTTTCCCGAAATCCTCTCCAACAATGTTGATATCACCAATCAACAACACCAAGGTCTTATGGTCTAGTGGTATGATTCTCGCTTAGGGTCCACCCTGAGTAGCTCCAGCAGCTTGCGAGAGGCCCCGCGTTCGAGTCGCGGTAAGACCCTTGTTTTGCCTCCTGAGAACTCGAGGGTTGGTTGTCGCTGAAGAGACTTCTTTTTGCTTGTCCACAGGCCACGCGGAAGTGGAGAACAGGCCCCAGTTGGACCGTGCAGTCATCCGTTGATCAGGGACCTGGCTTCTGTGGAAACGTTTGAGAAGCTCCTTTTGAGAGATAACAAGGAGAGGTATGGCTTCAGTTTTGCTTTCATGAGACGCGCTGGAAGCTCTTGACACCTCCTGACAGCTCTGACAGTCATTGGTAGGTTTGAAGGCCAGGGATGTGTCCTCCAGAGCACTTCATGTTGCCTGGTGTGCTTCTTCCTTTCCAGCTTGCGCTACCATCGAGTTCAGCAAGCCCAGCTCAAATGACGCTCGTCTCGCATACTTCTACTGTCCTCGCAGCACGGACAAAGCAGCGGTTGTTCTCATCAAAAGCACCGGTGCACGGACCATTTTCGGCCAGTTGGCTTGCCGAAAGCGGCCAACACGACTCGGGCCGAACATCCTGGCTTCCCCACTCCGAGCAAAAAATCTGTTTGCGTCAACCTCCCATCGACACGGCCTTCTGGATGGATTTGTCCAAAACAAGGGCAAAAGAACGGGTCTTACCGCGACTCGAACGCGGGGCCTCTCGCAAGCTGTAGACAGCAACCCAGGGTTAACCCTAAGCGAGAATCATACCACTAGACCATAAGACCTGTCGAAATATTAAGTGGAATACACCGATTATGCATGCACTCCTCCACAGGGTTGGAAGCTAGTGAACACCTTTCGCCCATTTTTGAGGACAGGTGCGTGGTTTTACTATGCTTGGAGCAAGAGATGCTCTGAACTTGTCTTTAGCATGCAAAGAACAGTGTTGTGGCGTCTATTTCCTTCTGGCTTGGAAGCTTAGAAGCAGAATTTTGGCGACTTCCAAGATCCTCATCAGCTTAGAACTCCGATGAGCATGCAGTATGCCAGCCACTACAGCAAAGCAACAGTAGTGATAGCTCTAGGAGAGCCTTGAGGTGCTGCTGTACTGCTTTGGGGGGGCAGGGTGTCATTCTTTGTTACAGCAGAGTGCAGTGATTGAGGATCTTGTGTTCACGATTCAGCGGCACCTGACGGGAGCTCCCAACTGCCAGGGCGCCTCGGTCCTCTGCAGAGAGTGATCCGCGAGAGTCCTCTGTGCACGTCTGCGTCGCCTTCTTGGGCGAAAGTCTTGATCAGCTGGTTGCGCTGTCGAAGGAAGAGCAAGTCGTTGTTCTTCTTTCCTGTCTTTCGAGTCTTCCGACAATTTTACTGGTACTTCTCCACCATTGCGCCTTTCTCCTCGAGAGGGTGCAAATTGCTCGAGACTTGATGACTCACATCGGGATTGACGCCATGAGCGAGGATTTTGGGATACCACCGTGACCACGCTTACCGTGTAGGAGCTGACTCATCACGGGTGTCACTTTCCAAATCCCGTATGCTGCCTTCCCAGGACCGTGCTATGAACAGAGGAATCGATTATTATACAAGTCTACCTACGACGATATTTTTCCCTTCTTAAGGCATACGGGCACGGTTAGGAGGCAAGTCAAGCCAGCAAGGGGGCTTTAATTCATCGACTGATTGGCTCGTTGCGCCAGTCGTCTGAGGCGATACTAGGTTGGCATGACTGAGTGATGTATCCGTCGAGCGAATCAACCGGGGACACCTCAACAACAGAAAGAACTTCTTGAATGGGGTACGACTTGTCTATTCCGCGTTCCTTGCTGTTGCCGATCCAGGAATCCCGAGCTCTAGATCGCTGCGAAAAGAGATACGTAGAAGGAATAAAGGGCCGGCATTAAAGGGTAGGAGTGGGCGCACATGGTCGTCTTGACGGGAAAATTTGAAGCGCCGTTCCATACTGAGAGGCAAAATAATGGGAAGACACTGGGACTACTGTACTTGCTTCAGAAACCGTAGATCCCAGCGACGATGGGTCCAGCGTACTGCAGTCGAGTGTAAAGATTCTCGGCTGCAGCTGCCCTTTCTTTCTCTGTTGTGGCTCTGAGAGATCCAGGTGCGTAATTGAGTTGTCAAGTGGTTAAAGGTCTCCTGGCAACTCTCGGAAATTCTGTGCGTGGAGCTCTTGCTCTCCTTCCCGTCCTGTGTCTGTCATGAAGTTTCGAGAATATCTAAGTCTGAGCAGTTTTCCAGCCACAGGGGTCGTGTTTTGAGCTAAGGGCGCAGCAGAGCGGGCCAGCAGAGATTCAAGTGTTGGCTGGAACCGTTTGCTCTCAACCAACGTATGCAGTCATTCCGACAGTAAAATAAAAGTATGACCGTTGACTCAGTTGCTAAAGCTAAGATTCCCACGCTAAACAAAAAAAGATATTGTCCAAATCACCTACGAGGCTACAACGCATACATGCTGTAACTTTCTACCGCCACCAAACCAATATTGAGCTGAAAACAGCGCCGCCAAAAGACAGTCGCAGTCATCCCTTTGAGACCGCTCGAATGGCTGCGGCGAGATGAACTCGGAGAAAATGGAAAGGAAGAAAAAGAGAGAAAAGTTTAAGACTAACTTGATATGCACGCGCCTTGAGAAAAGGGCAGCAAACGCACAGAAAAGCAGGAAGTCGACCCCAGCAACCCAGTGTGAAAAGGAAATTTCAGCCGTACGCCTTCGCGTCCCACGCCATCTCGCCATAGAGTGAAGCAGAAAGCTAGCTGATTTTGACCCAAATTTGCCGAGTCGTCGCAAAAGGTGCGCCCGGGTCCATGGGCGTCCGCTCTTCATGAGCCGACAGCGTAACATGGTTCAGCGGCATTACGATGAGCCCAATGCGCAAGGTCGAAAATGAGCCGAAGCTGTACTGAGACAAGAAGAAAATTTCTGGTCCGAGCGGACCTGCTGACGCAGAAAAGTGACAAACGGTCAATCCTAGCTGCCAGATGTCGGAACTGCAGGAGCTGGTGCCGAAGTGGAGGGCTGGGCAGAGTCATGATCAGTCGAAGGATGAGGAGCTGTTTAAGACATTCGGTTAGCAACTGCCGCGTCCAGATTTCAAAGTCGGCGTCCAGTGATGGTGGTAGTGAGGGTGAACGGCAGAGGATAGCGATCAGGGTTGAAAGTGAATGAAGCCCAAAGAGCTGGAGATGCCTCGCCTTCTATCACATGGACAAAAAGACTCATCGGCCATCAGGATTTTGTTCTGGTGAAATGGTCCACGTCTCCTTCGCAGGAAAGTGTGCGACCACGATGGTACCAGGGAATTCGTCGTCAGGCATAAATTGGGGTGTCGTTGAAAGGGGATGGCGTCGAAGTGAAATCAAAGGGGGGAGGCAGACGAGGGAGAGGACCCGACATTACCTTCTTGCTGAGCGGCTGCCGTGTCCTCACTCTTCTGTCTCTTGTGCGGATGTTCACTCGAGGCAGGGAGGTACTGAGCTTCTTCGTGCGAGTGCTTGGTACCAGCGTGACCGTTCATGCCAGAAACGGACATGCCCATGGATGCTGCAACTTGTTGAGCCGACCGAATGAGGCTTGTGTCCAAGGCTGACATGGGAGCTACAGGAGCTCCTTTGCTGGTCCTGGGATCCAGAGGCGGATTCTGGGCAGCCTGGACGACCGCGGCGGGAAGGTCGGTGTGTGGACGAGAAAGGTCGATCGTGGACGGAGGGTCAGGGTAGTTACCCTGACAATCAAGAAGGCGAGATTGGAGACTGATGACGTAGTCGCGGAGGGTATTGTTCTCAGCCTGGATGGTACGGTATTGGTCGGCCATTTCCTGAAGTTGGTTGACCTGGTCCTTGAGAGACTTGATGTATTCCTCCTTGCGCTGGCGAAAGGCGCGCTGCGTCGAGTTAGCCAATATGTCGACGTTGTATGGGGAGCGCGCGCACCTGGGCAGCGCGGTTCTGGGCGGCGCGCTTCGAGGTGGACAGCTCGCGACGACCCTTGGGACCGCGACCCGACTCGCTCAAGTGGTCGTCGCCTGGGTCGCCTGCACTCATCGGATATCCTGGGGGCGCAATGGAGGGGTCAAGGCCGGCGTGAGCATGAGGGTCCTGAGGGTGAGACGGAGGTCCAGGAGTGATGGGCTGAGGAGCTTGCGGAGGCTGACCTGCGCCAGCGGCGAGGAGATGCTCTCTTAAACCTGGAGTCGCAAATGCATGTTAGACAACAGACGAGATGATGGTCCGAAGCTGAGCTCAGCAAGGGTCGGGCGGCTTACTCATCTCGATGTTGTGGGTAGAGCCCTATAGAGCTGGGGTCAGTTCGAGTACGTCGGACGAACAAAGGGCAGGCAGAGAGAGCGGATGGCGACGTACCGAAGGCGATTGATTCATTGCTGAGTGGTAGTTCCAGCTGTTGGCGGCCGTCATTCAATCAACGGCCGATGGGCGAATGATGGTCGACTGGTGCAGAGGTGGAGGTTGACAAAGCAGGGTGGGAGGCGTGCAAGCAGCGCTGGTCGGTGAGGATTGGGAAGTTGGGATTGGGAGCTGGTGGAGGGGAGAGTTAGCAGGAGGTGCCATGATGATGAGTCGCCGCGCGGGCAACAACTCGTAGACGTGGATGAGGCTCTCATCGGGGACTTGACTTACATGGTCGCAGACTTTATCACGGATCTCTGTTCAGCGGAGGAAGATGACTAAAAGCTGAGCCCCCCGCTGCGGTCCTTCACCGCCCTTAAGGAGGCACTTGGTGGATGCGACGGCCGCCAAGACTGTGAGTACACCTGGTCGATCGGCGGCCCAATGGGGCAACTAATCAGCCACCTGATCAGTCAGCATCGACATCTCGGTCTTTCCATCAGTATCAACAACTATGTCCCTGCCGAGGAGCTCCAATGTCCACCAGTTGCTCATTCTTGAACAGAAACCTTCGTATATCACCAGTCACCACAACTGTTGCTAGCAAACCTCGGTATCGTGTCCTCGTTGTGTACTCCGTATACGGATAACTCTACGGATATTCCAGCTTCTGACCCAGCCTATCCGAACGCTCCACGCACAACTTGCTGTTGTTGCTATTCAAGG